AGATCCATTTGGTCTCATTTTTCAAAAATTAAAACATACTACTTTTAAAACTCAAACTATATATCTTTTATACTTAAATTAAATTTCAAAAATTATTTTCATTTACCATATTTTCAAAATCAATCGAAAAAGTTGACCGACAATGGGCAATCTTTTCAATGACGCTAACCACGTCAAGTTTGGCTAAATTAACGAATTTCAATATCCCAGCCTACACAAGCTATCTTGAATATAAGAAAAAACAAATACTTGCAATTTTTCAACTTCTAACATTCTACATAAAAATTATTATTTCATTTACTTGATTTCTTCGTACCTAAGATACAAAACTACAATCCATGAAAACTATTTTACGGTTTATGATCAAACTTTCTCTTTAAATTAACTAGCAATCTTCACCACAAAAAATCTTTCAAAGTCCTGGTCATTTCTTAGTTCAAATTTTGAAAGTAACGAAGAGCTCTTCTCATTTGATAAAGTATTAGTTGCTATGGGATCATATACAACTAAAAAATAAATAAAACCTCTCTTGTCACATTTGCATCCCATATTTCATAACTAATATGCAACCTCCCAAAGCACATCACCTAAAACCTACAAGTTCGTTCAAATCTTCATCCATAAATATAAATTATTCCTCAAAGATGCATCATAAAAGATCATCAATATCTCCTCAAAATTAGTTTTACAAACAATCTCTTAATCCAACTTGATGAGCACAAGAACTAAATAAAATTTTTAATGTAATCATGATTTAACTTAATAGCAACCATTCTACCACTAATACTACTCACCGCAACAACTTTATCTTTAAACTATATCTAGTTCTATCTCAATCCTTATTAACCAATATATTCCCTAATGACCTCAGACTAATTTTCCTTTAATTTCTTGCAAATATGTACAAAACTCTTTTTTCTAACTATTGTGTCCGCTAATTCTTGACCGTCCTTTTAAATTCCTAAGTTCCACACAAACTATTCTGATTTTAGGTTGAGTTCACTTCTCATCAAAATTAGGTTAAATTTGTGTCACTTATAAGCGATGTCGTAGCCAATTATTACCTACCTCTAACTATAATTAAGTTGAGGCATCTCACTTGCATGTGATGTCCAAGTAAATCAAATTCTAAAGGTACTTTTTTTTATAATTCACTACTGACAGGTGCTCAATCATTCTATTTAAGAGTTCTTCTCACTCTCGACAAACACAGATACAACTAACTTTAGGTAATCTAACAACTTCAACCTCTCTAGACGTGTTGAAACCCTCTCTCTTGCATAAACATTTAACCAGAAGTCAAAAAAGGTAGATTATTGCCTAAAATTAGCTGCCCCTCCCAAAACACACAGAATGATAGGTATACATAACCACAACTACAAAGATAAGTAAATCACTCTCCAGCCCCACCCCCCTACCTGGGAGCTACCCACGAGACATTTACGTGACATCTACAATACTGCGAGCCTTGCTACAGTACCACGACCTACAAAAAGCTGCTTAATCGCTTGGACGGAACCAGTCAAGGTTTTTTGCCTGAGAGTGGAGTGGGTTGGTCCTCTTAGGCCACTCCCAGTTATCTTATTAGTATATATTTGCTTTCATAGAAATTTAGGGTTAGGTTTTACAAGAGTTTGTTCGAGATTGCCGCCGGCATCTACGTTTTCCCTTCGAGGGTTGTATCCAAAGTTTTGAGTGGTGCTTCGGTTGTATCTCTCTCCAAAAGTGGTGATTATCTTCTCTATCCCCTTCCACATCTTCCCCATGAGGCTCCTGCCTGCCCTTCATCTGCAGCCTCCCCCGAGCAGCACTCATTCGTTATTTTCACTACAGTTTTCCAATTCCAGCACTTCTTGCTCGCTGCCACCGCCCCAACAGCAGCCCCTCGAGATCATGTGGCCCCGTGCTTCGCGCACTTCGCTGCCGCCACTTCCTCCACTGCTGCAGCTGCCCAAGACAGCAATCTTCATTGTTAATCCTGCATTCCAGCCACCCGCCACCGGCTTCAATCAACCTAGCTAGCTGCCTCGTGCGGACAACACCTTTCTCCTCGCTGTCGTCACCCGAAATAACAGCAAACCAGCTGTTTTCCTGCAGTTCCCTGTCTATTCCAGCCTTTCCCACTCCACCTCACAGCACCACTTGCCACCTTATCTACTGTCATTTCTGTTCAGATCTCCACAACCCATACTTCCATCTCCTTCAGTCCCTAGCCACTATTTCCCTGCAGTCCCGAACCTTCTCTACTTTGCTGCCACGTTACCAAATTCCTAACGGTCACCAACACCACCCGAGCACCATCCCAGTAGTGTGTTGTGTTGTTGCTATTTCCCATTTCAATGTGTGGTTATAACCACCTATCTGACTTTTTCAGCAATAATAATAAAGGTTGAAAACAAGCATATTATAATCATTTTAAATTTATATATACAAGGCTAACTTGAAGAATCAATAAAAACCATGAGTAAAAAAGAGGAAACTTTCAATTTACTTTTTAATACTCGAAAAAAAGATAAAGCACTGTCTAACACAACTAAAGGAAGCAACCACAAAAAACAACAGCCAGCATACTAGATATCGGTAGGATAAAATTTTGAGAGGACCTGTGCGCTTCAAACAGTTTTTCATCTGTGTCCTCATTTATGTAGTTCATTGCAAGTAGTCGGTTCTGTCAGGGCAGAAGTAATACACAGAATTGTAAAATATGGAAAAGGAAGTGCTGAACAAATAATGGAACTTAATGAAGAAGAAGGTAATTCTCATAAATTAAATCTAAAGTTAGGTCATTCCCAAGTTAATATCAACAATTTAACAAGGCTTCACTATAACATTATGGTTGCAAATTAATTCACCATAATTCTCACAATCAGCAGAAACATAATGACTTGAGTTTGCAGTGGCATATTATTCTAAATACTAGTACAAGGAAGTTTTTATAAACTCTCACGATCCATAAGATTATGAAAAATACAATGAAGGGACAGAAAAAAAAAATAAAGTTCAAAGGAAAAAAAAAAGGAGAAAAAACAACAAGAATTAAAAGGGAAAAAAAAGAAAAAAAAACAAACACAGACACTTCTAAATGTCTTCCATGTCTGTGAACACAAAGACGGGTCCAACACACCCTGACACATGCAACATTTTCAAAATTATGTCAAATTCATTAAAAAGTAAAATTGGGACCAAACATTGACCAAACACAAGGAAAACATGTGTTAGAAACTAGCCAACAAGTTCTGGACAAACATCCCAATCCTCTGCTGAGCAATCAATCAGTCTGTTAGCATACCAAGGCATCTTATCCAATGTTTTTAGCGTTCAAAGCAATAAATTAAAATCTTGGATAATTAATTCTGGAGCCTCGGATCATATGAAGGGAGAAATCAACGTCTTTAAAAATATCAACCCATGCAGCAGTCACTCTAAAGTTTAAATAACTGATGGTTTATTCACACCAGTAGTAAAAATTGGATCAGTCAAATTGACAAAGGATCTTCACATCTATTTTATTCTTGATATTCCAATATTAAATTACAGCATACTCTCAATCAGCAAACATAATTGTGACCTAAAATGTGTGACTAAATTTATTCCAATTATTGTGATTTTCGGGTTGTGGATTTGGGGAAGGCTGGCAGTGTTGAAATGCATGATACTTGCTCAAAGAAAATAATTTCATCGATAGAAATTGTCATCCATCAGGTTGTATTTCTGAGTTCAGTTCAAATTAAGTGTCACTTAAAAGTCAAGTCATATTGAGTCATTGTGGTCTTGGTCATCAAAATTTTGTGTGCATGGATAAGATGTTTCCACACTTATTTGTCACTAAAAAATTTTACTTTTAACAACGTGATACTTGTTAATTTGCAAAACATACCAGACATGTATATTCTAAATTACAATATAAGCCTTCACATCTTTTTCTACAATTCATAGTGATATTTGAGGACCATCATAAGTAAATAATATAAATGGGGCACAATTATTTATATCATTCATAGCAGCTCTGTGTGTGTGTGTTTTGGTGATATTATTTTTCATATTTTCGAGTATATGAACAAAATATATAAAGTATGTTTGTGACGATATAATTAGACTAATTCATGACTCACTATGTACTGATTCGCCAAGTCCGGATGAGTGCTGGTGAGAATTTAGTCTAACGGAGTTGTATATCTCTGTTGCACTGCAATCGACCACCCTTAAAGGTGGGTTAGTTGGGGTGTGAACCAGGCCCGAAAAATTATTCAAGATAACTCGAAACTAGATTTTTCGAGCGCATTCGGTTTGAGTTGGCGTGCCGAATTAATTTGACAACCCTAGATGAGACCCTTGCCTCAATGAATTGGGTTATAGGGGCATAAGTGTAAATTGAGGTAGCTAACGGAATATAGAACCAATCAATGCTCGTCAAAAATCAATTTAAGCTTTCAAATCATGTGACAAAATATTTAAAGCTTGACATGGTATCAATACCCAAAGTCACAATTTTAAGTCCCGAACATTTAACTTTATTACACGTCATGTGAGCCGGTGATGAATCCGCACGTAAAAATTAAAATCAAACTATACTAACACTTTGGCTCATTTGTTTCAATATCCCAAGAATAAGTTTTATTGAAGTAAGTTTCAGTTTTTATTGGAGAAAGTTTTAGTTTTTTTTTTTTTTTTTTTTTTTTTTTTTTTTTGTTTTAAATAAGTCATCAGTTCCTGGGAATTAAATTCCAGTGTTTACTTGGATTGTAATGAGTTTCATATTCACCATCATTGATTAATTTTGAATTTTATTTTTATTATTATTAATAACCAAGAATCCTTTTAAGTTTACGCTGTTAAATTGCTTTTTGATAAGCATAAATTAATGCCCCAAGCCCTCATAACTAAAACTAGCTTCTCATCTTTATGAAGGTGGGTTTCAAATATAGGAATATACTTTCATTCACCTTTAACCAACACCAACATGGTTCTGAAACTCAATTCCAATCCTTCCACACACTTGTGTTGAACCCAAGCAATCCTATGGATTGAGGACAGTTAAGAAACCTAATAAATTTAACCTATCATTTAAGCATTCATCCATACAGTTACCAAAATTTAACAGGACGAACGCAGAAAGCTTAGAAATGAAGTCAAGCACGGGTAGATATAATGAATATAGAAAATTGATTATGGAAGTACTGAGACAATATAAATAATTTTTAGGGGCAGTTACATATATACCACCTAATTCTTAAGTATTTACATATCTAACACCTAAACTTTACATTTTTATATTTATACCACCCAAATATTTCATGTCACATAAAAATACCACTATTTTAAGTTTTAAAAAGTGAAATACACATCTTCATGC